AAGGCAAAAAGCTAAAATCGAAGATTTCGATCAAATAATCATGGCAAATAAATCATAAAAATGAAGCAAGATTACCGGAAATTGCAATAAAGTTATACAAGAATTCCGAATAAAAATAAGTAAACATTACCACGACCAATACAAAGCGATAAGGACAAACAAAATTGTTGGTAACCGCAGCCCAATGGAAATCATGAAGTTAATGATGATAAATAATAATATAATGACGATGGGACACACACAAACATACGCATATACACACATGCATATATATATATATATATATATATATGTACACGCATAATACGCACAATAAGATGCCACTGCAGTAAAGACTGGAAAAGCGTGAAGAAAACGATTGTAAATATAAATTACTGCAAGCCAGTCACTGATTATATATAGATATGATGAAAACAACAGTGGCGCAGGATCCTCAAAGGTGAGCGAAGCAACACTGATATTTGGTCAATACAATTCTACAACTTAATAACTATATTAATCAGTAAGAACGGTAATACTCGTGGCTGTGAAACACATATAACAACAACAACGATGAATTAGCAAAAATACAGATTTTGCTCAAATTTCTTCGCGAGGAAGCAAAAATATCAGACAATAACCGTTATAAATAAGTGGCATACAACAGTGAAAAATCAAAATTTCAACGTTGTGTTACGTAGCATACAACCATCATCCACAAGCACAGAAAAAATCGAAAATTAGAGAAAGTAAAAATTTCGTGTATGGTAATTGTACTACTTGCCATGTTTATCTAACAAATGAAGAGTAACGAATACAATATTACACTGCAAGAACAATTGAGTAGGACCATGATTTTGGGATAAAAATATTATAATGAAATAATTACCTTAACAAAAATGTTAAACCTGAATATGCAAATAAAACTGTGAACAAAATAGCTGTAAAGCCATTATACATGCATTTGACCTGCATTAGGAATCAAAAGCATACAAATCTGGGCACATCTACCGATATCGTAATGCCAACCAAACGTGACTGATGAAAATATTCATAAACCTTGCGCAACTTCAGTGAATGTGGTAGCAAGCACATGAAAATGTGGTGACTGGTGACTCATAGTTGGGAAACTAATAATTGCAGCATTAACTGCTAGGAATATCAAGTAATCAGTTGCAAAACATTTAATGATCGCACCATGAAAAACACTAATAAGAAAAATCTCCGCACTTCTGGATTGGCAAGCAACTTTTGCACTAAATTTGAATGTTGATGCATAAATTTGAAACACATCTAGTTCGACTGTTACTTTCAATTACTATGATGAAATGGTGAATCATTGCGCTGGCGACATTCAGAGAGCTACCCCATATTTCTAAAATCTTTCCAAACTCTTTATGTTATTCTTTTCTTTGCCTGGATGTGATAGATATAAATAAATCAGAAAGAAATGAGAAATAATGTAGGAAGACCTCGCGAGAGGAATAGAACACACGGAAAACAAGAAGAATGAGAAAAGAACAGAGCTGACAAAATTTAATTAAGATGCAATATTATCTAGCATTGAATATTTGATTCCGTCCGGTTCATTTCTCAATTCTAATATGGAATAAATACAGATCAGAAATGTGATATTCAGTTAACCATTGTGTGTTGTGTGCAGATGAAATGTGTGGACGACGGAACACATGAAAAACACGTCAGATTTTTGGATGAGGAAAACTTTTAAATTCTGAAACTTGGACGGTTTAAATGCATAACACGAACTACCTATCTGACAACAAATCGAAGGCAAAAACTGACAAAAAAAAGTCACAAAAAGGTAACATTGTACATTCGATAAATAGATTTTGCAACAAATGATGGTTTTTGAAAATCATAAATTTAATAAAAAAGAGAACAGTAATAACTTAATCACTGAAATTCATACACGTGACAATCAAACAGATTATAGGTGAAAAAACAGGGTGAAAGGAGGAAGTATAATTTAATATTGCCTATACAGTAGTAACAATAGCAGTAGTGTAACACAACAATAAAAAATCTGTACCACAATAGATGAGAATGGAATACAAACGAGCACATCTGATGAGAAACTACTAAAAAAAAAAAAAAAACAAACAAACTCCAATAAAATGAAGAGCTGAAAATAAATTCAACATGGAAAAAGCGATAAGTATTTTGCAATAGAAGGAAGAGAAACACCTGATGAGGAATTTTCGGAAATGTTTATATAGAAACGGAAATACCCTACATGAGCAAGTCCCTCTTCAGAACGTAAAGCGAAGGAAATACTGCAATTTCGGGTTCAAAACACTAAAGAGAATTGACGATTTTGATCACTGGAACATTACAAGACCAAAACTTCATGAAAGTAACAAAGAAATTTAAGTCAAAGGAATTCATATTCTGGATTTTTACCATTAATCGTAGGCTAAGTTCACTAAAAACCCTTTAGGTATGACTTTTCCCTTTCAGAAAAAAATACCGCTACACCACTGGTTTAATTCCTGTTACAGATTAAATCGAACTCATTAAAAAGCTGAATAGCTTTTTTGGACTGACACTGGGAATTGACGAGAACATTCTTGACGCAGTTTGTACAAAATCACTGCATGCATGGAAGATGATTACGACTAAATCATACGTATCATTTGCATATATGTGTGAAGTATTACGAACACGCTACAAAGTATTGGCAAAATTGGTCATCCATTTTAGCATATATTTTTAAATTTTACTGCAAAGAGTATGACTTCGAGACGAAGACAGACTAAGACAGACCACAAACAGTCAGCCGCGGCACCATATAAGTAAATAACATGTTATAATTACAAAGCTAACTGTTTGGTGCATATCTGGTTTTGGGGATAACAGATCAACCTCCGAAAAGAAAACTTGGTCTTTTTTGAACACCTTCAGAAAACCCATTTCCTGAATCATACTGCCATGTGGTACCGACGTCAAAAAATTTCATCCATACAAGAACTAGCAAAGCATCCTCCAAACCACCGGGAATTAAATTTTTATTGATCAAGATTTTAGCTTGTTCCTCGGAAATTTCCCCAACATTGAGATAGTTAAGAACAACTATAAAATACCGTTAAGCAACTAAATCACAGATATTGGAGGATAACGACATCAACACATACATTTCACTGCACTGAAAGAAAAATATTATAATGTGTACAGATATGCAACAATCTTGAATCAGAAAACAGCAGATAATTCTTAAATCATGACCAATAACAAATTACACAACATTGGATAAAGAATATGATATTCAATTTCAAGAAAATGGTCAAATGCGGACTGCAATGCCATATTATGTCAAGGAAAACAGTAGGCTAAATTTGCCGTTTTCTCAGGGAAAACGAAGCATTCCTTCTATTTGCAAAGTAGAACTTCAAAAAGATGACTATATCAGGGCCTCTTAAGTCTTACACGCACCAACTAAAAATATTTCACTAAAAGTGAATGTCAACAACACAATGAGCAAAACTCATCCTCCCCACAACCAAAACCACTTTCATTTGATTCCTCTTTTTCCATTAACAGTAAACGACACTTTAAAACTTTGTCGCACTCCTAAAATTCTATTCCAATCTCACTCATGTTTCATTATCTCAAGTTAGTCATATTTTATTACTGTGCCCCATCTTAGACAGTTCGATTTAAAACATCCCCATGCTCAACTTATTCCTGTCCTTTTTCTGCTCCCATTCATATGTATATCTCAAGAAGATTGAAATATACCAATATCACTGGCACAATTTATATAACTACTGCATGACAAAATGAATTTAAAATTCAGATTAATATACAATACAGCAGTAGGTAGTATAGAGATATAACGAATACAAAATTAAATCAGTGGAACTGCACAAGATGAGAATGACAAGGATAAGATGCAGACGAATCGAAGCAATAATACATATCTGTACATATTCCAGGAAAAAGAAAGTGTAGAAATTATTCCTGGATACAAAGACCTTTGTCCAAAGAAAGCTGGATAGGCAGAATAGAACAAAAATTACAAGAGCATTTAAGTATGAAAACACACCGCAGACCACGGTATTCCTGCACCAAATTTATTAACTCAATATATTTCGTACTCATCACGAATTTATTGAATAGGAGACCATTAATCCATTCTTCTATATTGACAACAGAATGACTGAATGTATTACTGCGCAACAAATACAATAAATAGGGTTTAAGAAATTATGATTTGTTAATATATAGTGTTGCATGAAGTTATAAATTAACTACAAATGAACAAAGAGTGAAGACCTGACACAAAAATGCAACAAATAAAATCATATTTTCTAACATCTGCATCGCTCACGCCTCACAAAGAATGCAACTATCATATCACTCACGATATAGTGAGCGTAATCACCGCATTAGTTGCACACTGTGTACGCTAGAACACACACTGCAGAACATACAAGCAACATATAGCGGTAAATAATGCATTAATAAACAAATCCCGAGGAGCACAAAAAAGTACAAGAACTAACGCTATCGAACTAAGCCAGTATCATAACCCATTACCATAATGCATTAACTTAACAAAACTGCTTACCGTAGCATGTCGTACCAACTAAAGATATCAACTTTTCATCGTATCAAAAGGGTCGTGTAATATCACTAGTTGTATCACCTGCATGAAAATGGGGTTGTTGTGGTAGTACATCAGTATTATTAGAAGCACAATTAGGTAGCAATGCTGTAACCGTACCGGCACCAAACATCCACTGTTCCGTTGTCGTTCCAGCCGGTCCCAAAGGACCACCATATGATAGTGTGCCCCGCGGCTTTAATAACCGATCCATTTCCGATTCTGTCACAGTTTTCACTTGCACTGTAAAATGTCACTTTTTCCTTTTTAATCAAACACGACTAACAGCCTCACTGAATTATTCAAACCAAGGCATGCCGCAATCAGAGTGATGAACTAGCCCAAAATAATTTCCAATAAAACCCATGCTGAATTAGCTGGAAATAGTTGGAATTAGAATCAAAAAAATAGATTAAGTAGTTTATGTTTATATACTTGATCAATTTAGTAACCCAATGACTAAACAAGCAAATGGTCGCTCTTGACCATTTTTTTTAAATCTGTATCGAACCTTAAAACTGCTAACATAATCATCTACCGGACTTCAAGTTGAATTACCTTGCTAAAGACTATAAAGAATTACTTACAAAATGGAGCTTCTGTCTTCAGTCGCCGAATAATTTCCTCAGCAGGCTCTATGAATTTAACACACAGAAAGGGAGCACCATGTGGACAAAATGCATGCACTATTTGGCCCACTTTCTGGCATAACATCTGTACTTGTTTTTCGTTCTGCAAATTAGAGATCGATCAGTCAGTAAGGAATTCAGAGTATGGACATTACGATAGTGACACTTCTCGAAATAGATACGCCTGATAACGAAGAAGAGACGATATAAAGGAAAAATGTCGCAAAACTGCAAACTACTATACCGGTACGCATTAATTAAATAAAAATAGTGTAACTATTAACTTACCACTCCGTGTAACTGCACGAAAACCCACTGGTACTGCTGCTGTGGTTGCTGGAGACCAAATGGACTTAAATTGGAACGTTGATAAGGCCCCATAGTGAGTCCAGCGGTACCTGAAGTTATTCCACATTTTTTTGCTTCTAGCATATATTTTAGTTGTTGTTTCTACAATACAGTAATAAATTTTAGATTAATGATGCATTACAAACTACAGTATTAAATTATGCTTTCATTATACGATCATTTCAATTTTAATTTCATGGTGTATAGTAAATTACAACCTAAGTTATTGCACCTAAGTTACTGCC